CAATACACATCTATATATATAATTAAATTTTATTGTTTTATTGCCCTTTGAACCATGTCTAACTACTATTCCTACCACTATAAGTTGTATATTACTTGGGGAACTGCAGCTCACTAAGCTCACTATCGTATTACATTACCCATGAGCTACTACGAGCTGCTCATGTACATGCCTTGTGAAACATTTTTATTATATCCTTATCATTATTTAACTAATTTAAACTTAAACAATCTAAAAAGATCCCAATTTTTAAATCTTAATTACTTTTATAATAATAAATAAAGAATAAACACGAAAAACAAGAAATAAAGTACTTACTCAATCTTCTTTTGTTTGTCAATGACACTTAACCCTACTTTTATATTAAAGGTAGTAATGCACTAAATAATTTTTGTTTAAATACATAATGCACAAAAGAACATAGACTAATAATATGCAAAATGTAGAACATTCCCCTAACTCTCAAATTTTGTCTAGGTTTTTAACTGTGAGACAAGAGCCATTACAAATTCATTCAAGCTAGTTGTTAACTTTCCCACTAAAATGAAACTTGTACTAGGAGTGAAACTGATGCTTATCTGTTCAGAACAAAACATTATACAATACGTCATTTGATAGATGAAAATCTCAACTTTCTATTGGTTATAGGTAATATATAATTAAACGTAAGAGAAAACTATTAACAAATCCTAACAGAGAGGATGTGACAGGTGGTTGTGGCAGGAGGGGTCTGATTTTCTATTTGATAGCTCTGTACCCAAACAAAACTGAAGGCTATAAAAATTTTGGTTTGTCTGAGCAATGACAATTTTATAGTTAGTAATTTACATTTAATTTTGAACTTTTTGAAGGGGTGATGGATAAAATAGAGAAGAGAAGACACCTCGAGAAAATGTGTCACACTAGGGCAAATTCAGGATTTTTAAAAATATTGCCTTGTAGAAATAAGAACATAAAACTTATATACTATTAAAATATGGATTATTAGCTATGAGTTTATGCTATGCTAATTGGTATAACATAAACAAAAAGTAGTTCAATAAAATTTTGAATGTAAAACACTGAAACTTTGTGTCATTCATAGAAAAGGATACCCATGGCGATACAATGCACAAAGCCATTCACTTTGTAAGAATCAAAATTAAAATACCAGATAGCAAGTATACTTATATTTAGTTACATTTTTCTTTCATTTTACATCTCATACTAAAAATATTTTTTGAGTTTATTTTATACAATTTGAAATCCTTAACATCTATGGTACAATTTGAAAATCACTACTATTTTAGTACATTCAATGACTTTGATGATTGTAAGACTTTTGACAGATACAAGAGTTTAAGATCATGTGTCATTATATACACACAAAATTATCTAACATACATAAATGGAAAAGTTTTCTTTTTTAACTTGCAAGGCCCATTGATTCTCTATGGTGAATGATGTTAAAATGGTTTTTACCATTTGGTATATCATATTCTCCAAATACAAGAAATATATTAATTTAATTTCAGGTGTGTTTGAGAGAATGGTAGGTTTAACACACATCAAACTTAACTTCTATATCTGTATTTATCTTCAAATAAGGTTCACGATCTAAACCTGATTTAAAAAACTTCTAAGCAGAGTGGCTTAAAAAGATTTAAATACCACCTTAATTAAAGTATCTGCTGTGTTAGAAAGAGAAACACTAGCATAACAGAAAGTCTGTGTTTACCATATTCTCCTTTTACCATGGTAAAATAATGGGTCACCATTAACAATCTGGATGGAAAAAGTTTCATTTTAACCATTTCTTTTTTGTAACAATGATAAATAAGGGGTTTATAAATAATAATAAAAAAAAAGTTGTGGACAGATCTAAATTTTGTTTTAAATCAAAAAAGAGCACATAAGCATGGATTAGAGAGAGAGCACACTTCCAAAATAACATGTATACAGCTATAATTGTAATAAAACAAACAATTCAATTATATTTGCTTAAACTTTTCAACTTAAAACATCAACTGTTAAAATAACAAATGGGTGCTTTCTAAGGAGGATTAGATATCCCAAATAAAAATAATTTTATCAAACCAACACCAGAACACGGAAAATATCAAACTACTTAGGTTAGTTAACTCTTTCAGCATGGGCTCGGTCCCTAGGACCAGCCTCATAACCATTTTTGTTTGTTATAGTTTTTATGCTATAAATTTTAAATTTGTAAGCGCATGTTAACAAAATTTGGTAGGTTATCAGTAAACATTACAATGCTTTCAAATTTTTATTCAGTCTTAACATTTGTAAAGCAATGTTTTTCTCGTGCCTTTTTTTTTTCTATCTGCATGTTGCCTATCCAACATGTAATTTTCTATTCAGTCTTAAGATTTGTAAAGCAATGTTTTTCTTGTGCC